CAGCACTCTGGGAGGCCAAAGTGGGACGATTGCTTGAGGTCAGGAATTGAAGACCAGCCTGAGCAAGTGTGAGACCCTTATCTTTACTAGTAATAGAAAAATTATCCAGGCATTGTGGTAGGTACCTATAATCCCAGCTACTTGGGAGGCTGAGGCAGGAAGATAGCTTGAGCCCACTAGTTAGAGGTTGTGGTGAGCTCTGATGCCACTGCACTCTAGCCAGGGTGACAGTCTGCAAAAAAAAAAGAATTCTCAAATCTTTGTTTTTATTATGCAGATTTTGTTTCCTTGGAAGGGATTATAGGCAAGATGTTAACCAAGCTTTGGTGATTTCACAGCTCTCTTAAATTCTAAGTGTACATAGCAGAACAATTGACAAATTAAGCCAATAAATTGATTAGATGACTGCTAGATTTATCTCTCTCAGGGAGGGGCATAGGGGCTTTTTCCCCCCACTTAGTGGTTTTTGAAATGGTCTAAATCTTTCTACAGTAAAAATACCATTGCTTCTGTAAGCTGGAAAAACTTTCAGCTTTTCACGCTATTTTAGGTGAGATTTGCATTATAGCTCATTATTTTCAAGTGAACAATTCTCTGGCGTTGAGTACGGCCATGGCATTGTGCAGCCACCACTTCCATCGGATTCTATGCTAATAATAAATCCAACTGTCTGTATTTGGAAACTGGTACCCTTGGTTGCTTCACATGGGTAAATGGCACACTTCTCAGTTTACTCTTTCAAGCAGTTATATTTTGTACCTTACGAATATATACTATCCATTCAAAAAGAATTAGCAATTTGCACTTTTGAAAGGTAAATAGTTTCCTCTCCAGGTTTTCCTCTGCCATTCAATGCTCATGACTCTCTGCCCTTCACCGCTGATCCCCTATAATCACAGGATGGTCTGAGTAAAACAGTTTTATTTTTACTTCTCATTAAACATGGTCCAGTCTTTTGGGTTTTAAATTTAAGTTCACGTTCAACTGCAGTCAAAACCTAAATGTAAGCTTACCCTTGAGTGACGAACAGAGTCCTGATTGCCGCTTGAGTTCTGGTGTGTTGACATTTGCCCGGTGGGTCTGGGAATGTGTCGCCCTCCCCGTGGGCGGCCGGCCTGGTTTCTCACACGGTCTTTCTTCCCGTCTCTGCAGCGAGGTTCTCTTCTTAGCGAACCTGCCATCCAGGTGAGAAGGAAAGGAAAAGGAAAACAGATTTGGTCTTTGGAAAAACTGGACAACAGGTTATTGGACATGAGAGACCTTTATCAGGAGTGGAAAGAGTGTGAAGAAGATACCCCGGTAAGTCGTTTCTTCTTTTTAAAATTACCACCGTTAGTTATGGAAGGAAGCAACCTGGATTGAACCCGGCCATTTCAGGGGAAAATTGTTCTTTCCCCAAAATGGTAACATTCTTTCTAGAGTGAACGGTGTTTTAATTTTCTAAATTGTTTAGCAAATCAAGAAGTTTAATCCAATACCTTCTTTTTCCTACTCTCCGTTTCTGCCTTTTGGATTTCTCGCAGAGACCTCCACTTTCCCTCCCGCCTTGCCTCGGCCCACGTGTGTCTGTCGCACATCCTGCTTCGGGAACCACCTGAGGGCAGAGGCCAGGCCTTGCCTCTCTCCCCGGGTCTCCACCTGTTTAACCTTTCACATCATAAACCTATAATATGTGTTTCTGAAATTGAGCATCAGTGGTTCTTTAATACCATGAAGCAGCTTTGATTGTAATGTAGGTGCCATACACCAATACACTAGTGCTCCGTCCTCCAGTTGTGGGTTTTCTGACTCAGGTCAGCCGTTCACCTGCACGTAGTTACAACAGAAATGTGTGTCATGTGTTCTCACGAGTTTTCCATGTTGCTGGTCCTGTTTGGGCAGAGTTATTTCCTTATCCTCTGTTTTGCAAAAATGTTTCTTTTTCCAAATTGTCATCAGTAAAAATGACTTATCGGGTGACATTTTTGCTTAATTTTTTTTTTCATTTTCTTACTAAATTCTTCTCCTATTTTGAATTAAAAATAAAGCAGCAGTGGCAAACATGGAAAAAAAAAATCCCAGGTCTCTCCTCCATGAGGCTCACCTTCATTAGGACCAGGGTATCTTACGATTCAGTAGGAACAGAAGGAACAGATAGGAATGACCCTCTACCCTAGAAGAAAACGAAGAGTAGTTTAGTACACGCTGCTGTTTTTTCTTGTTAATATTTTTTTTTGTTTATTTTGTGGCAAGATTTCCAAGTAAGGGAGAAGCAATGCTAGAAGTAATGACCTGTTCCTGCTGTCGTAGGTCACGGATGCTGCCTGCTGTTCTAAGTGGGAATGAGGCAGTGCCATGTGGGACCAGTGGGGGCTACGCTCCAGCAAAAACTTCCCTTTTTAAAATCTAGAGCTTTTTCTAAACTTTTCTGCATTTCAGAGGAAATTCTACAGAAAAGGAGAATTGGGATAATTAAGTGGAGTTTAGTGACTTAGCATCAAAAGCTGGTAGGTTGAATGCGTGATTTTAAATGATTTTTCTGAAGCCGTGGGTTCTGGATCTCCTTGCAGGTCATTCGATCTTACTTCAAACGTGCTGATCCGTTCTTTGATGAGCAGGAAAATCACAGTCTCATCGGGGTGGCCAACGTCTTCCTCGAGTCTCTTTTCTACGATGTCAAGTTGCAGTACGCTGTCCCGATTGTCAACCAGAAAGGGGAGGTTGGTTTTCTCTTTCAGCCTCATTTCCTGCGGAGAACTGTTGGAGAGACAGTTAGTCGGGTGGTGATGGCGTCTTGTATTTTTTATCCGTAATGACAGATGGTAGGTGCATAGGGCTTTGCGGTGGTTATTCCGAGTCCTTGGAGGGGAGAGTTAGTGCTGGAAACCAGGCTTCTAAACCCTCCTAAGCCAGTCCCCTAACATCAGAAGAGAGGCCTTCTCCAGGGAGCAGGAACCACACCTGGAACAAGTTTCTGCCTCTCCCACTGGTGCAGGTGGCAGGTCGGCTGCACGTGGAGGTGACGCGGATCAGTGGTGACGTCGGGGAAAGGATTGCAGGGGGCGAGGAAGCCGCGGAGCTCTCCTTTGAGAAGGAGACGCAGGACAACAAGCTGGTCTGCATGGTGAGTCCCGGCTGCACGTCAGAGCGGGCGAACTGGGGCCGGTTTTGAGGATTATGGGTGTTGAGATGGTAAATACTCTTTTTTGAATTTTGAAAATCTCTGTAAGTTGATCATTGGTCGAGACTGTATTTCATCTGTGTCCTGAAGTCCTGGTTCAGCAACTTCAGTACCTCTCCCCAGGACCCTCGGACAAATCAAGTCTCTACCTGTCCGGAGGCCACTCACCTCCAGAATGACACAAGTCTGCGTTTCTGTGCTTCATGGCAGAGAAACCCAGGTCTTTCCCACCAGTTTCCTCCTCTTATTGGGGCTCTTGATTCCTCTGAAGATGCAGAGTGACCCAGTGCTGGTTCTGCCCTTGGCCACTGCTGAGTCGCTGCTCGCAGGGTCTCTGAGTCATCTTGGTTTCTCTCTGCCTCCTGCCTCTGGTTACGCCTGCCCTCCTTCCCGCTTTCCCACGCCTTCCGTGCAGGATATTTGTGTTGAGTGTTTCCGGTCAGATGTGCGAGGTACAGAATATGACGGGGAAGGAGGTGAGGCCCCTGCTCTTAGGCGGCTCCCTGTGTAGTTAGTTATGTGTGTTGGGGCGACACGAGTGTGAACAAAGGACCCCAATGTTGTGTGATCTGATTGTTCTCATAGATGAGAGGGAGGCCGCACGTGTTCTGGGAGATAGTGGAGAGGGAGTGGATTCAGAGAGCAGGTGTGAGGAAATGAGAGAACGAGGGAAAGTGAGACTCAGGCTGCACCTAGGGAAGGGGTGTTGGTGGGCGGTCGCTGGGGAACGGTGGGCGGTGGGCGGGGTGTCTCTCCTCGGCCCCTTCCGGCTCCTTCCTGCTCATTATGACAAATGCAGAATACTCACATTTGTGCCCCCACCCCGTGCCCCGCCAGCTGGCACTGCCATGGGTTGGGAATCCCTGCAGGAACCAGTTAAAAAGTGAGCATCTGGCTCGGCGCCTGTGGCTCAGGCGGCCAGGCGCCAGCCACGTGCACCTGAGGTGGCAGGTTCAAATCCCCAGCCCGGGCACTCCAAACAACAATGATGGCTGCAACCAAAAAATGGCCGGGGGTTGTGGCGGGCGCCTGTGGTCCCAGCTGCTTGGGAGGCTGAGGCAGGAGACTTGCTTGAGCCCAGGAGTTGGAGGTTGCTGTGAGCTGTGATGCCACAGTACTCTATCCAGGGGGACAGCTTGAGGCTCTGTCTCAAAAAAAAAGTGAGCATCTGAGGACACGGGGCCGGCAAGCTGCAGAGGAACCAAGTACAAGTTGGGAGATGACCAGGAAAGGGTAGCCAGGCCCAACTCTGAATCATGATCCATCCCGCCCCAGTCCTTTCTCAATGTGCGTTTCTAGAGTTGAAGTTGGTGCTGAAGGACTGAGTTGCACATTAGCAGCAAGGCGTGTGGGAGGAGTGGAGAGTTGAGCAACTTCCCCCAGGGCTTTGCAGATGGGGGCAAGGCCTCCAGGGGCTAAGTCAGTTACTTTAGTGTTCCCTGAATGGTTTCTCTGGTTCCTCTGGTTCCTCTTCCACTGCCTTAACCAGCTGCAAATTGAAATCTGTGGCATTCTGACACCTTGTGGTGATTTTAGCTGTTATGTGCAAAAATTTAAAAAACAAATCCGAACAGCCTGTGTTGTAAGATCTGCAGACGTCCTCGTACCTGGCAGTCTTCATTCCTGACTGGTGTCCTGTAGAGGAGATTCAGCATCTGAAATCTGGGCCCTTATATATTTTAACCTTAAAGTTCAGATTAATTTCTACTAAAAAAAAAAAAAAAAGGCTTTCGGGTGGGATTCCGTCTGACTGGTGTGTGTTGATATGTGGGCAGTGTGCTCAGGCCTGGCGCAGCTCATTCCCGACATTTCCTCTGTGTGGTCAGTCTCGCCCCGGGATAGTAAGGGCTCCTAGTGTTCCCATTTCACCTGGGAGAAAACTCAACCTAAGAAAACAAATTTAAGTTTTTGTGTCAGCACACAAACTAATAAATGTTAGGGATTTTTATTTAGATCTACGTAAATCCGAAATCGTGTGATCTTCCCAAGTATCAGATTGTATCACCTTACAAACCAAACATCTTAAGACACCCAATGAAAAAAAATGACGGCTTTATAAAATTTCATTAAAAATTAATTGCAGAGTACTGGTTGAACAGTTTGGTTAGGAGGAATTAAATGTGTCAGCTAGTCTGTCTCCCATAGCCTTTCAGGGAATTGCTGTCTAAATGTTTCAAACTCTTGTTGACATCCCAGGAAAGCTTGAATTACGGTGGGAGTTCTGGTTCACTGCCCAACCGTTCCGTGTCTGGTATGGAAGGAAATGAAGTCATCTGCTTTGTACGACGATTTTCTGTGTCCTTCTCTATGCTTCCTGAAATGTTAAGGTTGTATTTGTAGTTGGTGAAATGCCACATAAACTTATGTCGTATATTCAAATTTATTTTCATTTATTGGATGGAGGTAGATGGAATCACACAGCGTACAGACAGTGACGAGGGTGAGGACGGTCACGACTGCTGTCCGAACATGGGAACATTGGCTCAATCAGTCATTAAACCAGAATTGAGTTTAACTTAATTAACTATAGGATTTAGTTTTCTTTGTAGCTAGAGGAATTTTAGAATATCACAGCTTACCACAATAACTCCAAAGTAAAAATCAACCCAGGGCTGTCTACCAAAAGAAATATTAGGAATATTAGGCCCCTTTAAATTCTGTTATAGGCATTCCTTTCAGGGGTATTTGGGTCGGATGGGACACATATTTCTAATTGTGCTTGGTGTCACACAACTCTGAACTCTAGCTCACAGACTCTGCCTCATATACAGAGGGAGGGTGTTCAGTAATGCTGGTGCACAGAGTGGGAATATGCCAGCCGTCATCAGTTCCCAGATCTTCAAATCAGACATTCCTGATGCTTTGAAAGTTCTCCCCCCAAAATATGGTAGAGAGGCTTGGCGCCTGTAGCTCAGTGAGTAGAGCGCCGGCCATATACACTGAAGCTGGTGGGTTCAAGCCCGGCCTGGGCCTGATAAACAATGACAACTGCAATTAAAAAAAAAAAAATAGCTGGGCGTTGTGATGGGTGCCTGTAGTCCTAGCTACTTGGGAGGCTGAGGCAAGAGAATTGCTTAAGCCCAAGAATTTGAGGTTGCTGTGAGCTGTGATGCCACAGCACTCTACGGACGGTGACGTAGTCAGACTCTGTCTCAGAAAAAAATGCAGTAAGGAAGAGTGGTCTCCTTATACTTTTAAATATCAGACAAATACTTTCCCCTCTCTTTAGTATTTGTTGTTTGTTGGGACACACCAATTTTGTTCTTTGTCCACCATGTCATCTTTTTAGGACATATCCATGGTTAGACAAATTCATGTCGCTGAATGATGTTAGTGTCTGAGAACTTCCTTCTTTTAAATTGATAATGATGGTTCTTGTGTTCTCCTAAGGAACTAGAATTTAATGCTCTTCATCCATCTTTAAATGGTTTATAGCGTCCACCTTTATAGTCAAGGTCATGGCTACCCTGTGTCAGGCCTCTCACTAAATATGACAGTTGTCACCATTTCACAGATGGCACAAATGCAGTGTCAGAGTGAATGGCTAAAAAACCAACAGTTAGTGAGTGGCAGGGTCAGGCTGGAACCCAGAACTGACCCTGAGTGCTTCTTGGCATCTTCAGATCTAACAAATGAACCAGAGCCTTGTTCTTCCTGCAGGTTAAAATCCTCCAAGCCACTGGGTTGCCACAGCACCTGTCCCACTTCGTGTTCTGCAAATACGACTTCTGGGACCAGCAGGACCCTGTGATGGTGGCCCCCGAGGTGGACACCTCCTCCTCTCCCGTCAGCAAGGAGCCTCACTGCATGGTCGTGTTTGATCACTGCCGAGTGAGTGGGGTCAAGGTTTAAATTCCTCGTGTGGAAACAGGACAGAAAAACAAACAATTTCTTTGAATGATTGTGTCAGTGTCTATCTCAGAGAATAGGTTTTTAGAGTGGGGATTGAGTCAAAAACTGAAGTATCGGTGCAGCTCACTGCTCCATGATGAAAAGTGAGCTTTTGTGTGAAAACCAGATGTATGGGAATGGATCTATGCCTAACTCCTCTCCAGAAGAAGTGTACGTTTTGTATGAGATGATTGGAGAAATGACCTGAAAAGGTTAAGTAGGCTGTGCTCTAGAGAAAGGGGAGATGGGTGACAGGCAGGAACTAACTTTACCGAGCACCTCCTGCTGTTAAGCGCTGGGTGTGATTCTTTGTTTGATTTTTTGCAGTTTTTTTTTATTTTCGGCCAGGGCTGGGTTTGAACCCACCACCTCCGGCATATGGGGCCAGTGCCCTACTCCTCTGAGCCACAGGCGCCGCCCTCTTTGTTTGATTTTTACCACAGTTGTATTTGGTGATAATGCTTTTCCTTCAGCTATAAAACCAGTTCAGAAAGATCAGCTTGGACACAGCTAGAAACCAGCAGAATCTTTTTTACTACGGTGCCACACTTGAGCCATCACATTTTTTAAAAGAGAGAGAGAGACCTCTTTCTAATCTGGTGAAATCAGGTAATACCTTCCATGCATTGAAGATGGAGAGAGAGGAGGAGACACCAGCAGTGCAGGAGATTCCATGACTTTCTTTGATAAACGGTTTTGAATACAATTCTAATTGTGAAATGCCATCTTATAAAGATGGACAGGTTTGGAGAATTTTTAAAAATCAAATCTTTTTTTTTGCATTCATGATCCTTATTTCCTTTCCCTCCTATTATTATAGACAATTACCTTTCTAAAAAGTGGGAAAATCTTCTTTTCAACCACACTGCTGCTTTCTTGCATGCAATAACTTTTCTATCAAGATATTATGGATCATTGTTGTAATACTTAATGTAATTATATCTTTAAACATAGCTCTCAAAATATTGCTAACAGAATAGAATACATGTTGGTCTTACAGATTTTCAAGGTGAAAAGTTAAAAAAATTCAGAATTATGGTTATTTTTAAAGTCAAAAACCTTCGGCATCTGAACACTCATTACGGATGTTAGGTGATTGTTTTAGGTAAAACATTCTGTTTTCTCGTTCTCCGTGATATAATTAAGTATATGTTGTCTGGCATAAACACTCATAAGATTGCCAGAAAGTACTTGCTGTTGTGTAATTAGCTGTTGTGTTTCAGGAGTTTTCTGTTAATATCACTGAAGACTTTATTGAGCATCTTTCAGAAGGAGCGTTGGCAATTGAAGTCTACGGACATAAGATGAACGATCCTCGGAAAAACCCAGCCCTCTGGGACTTGGGAATCATCCAGGCAAAAACACGTAGTCTTCGGGACAGGTGAATTTTAGATGTTCTTCTGATCCCCTTTGTAATTTTTGGTTTTGTGAAACAGACTCTCAAGCTGTCACCCTGGGTAGAGTGCTGTGGCATCATAGCTCACAGCAACCTCCAACTCCGGCTCAAGGGATCCTCTTGCATCAGTTTTTCTATTTTTAATAGCGATGGGGTCTTGCTTTTGCTCAGACTGATCTCGAATTCATGGGCTCAAGGAATCCACTCACCTTGGCCTCCCAGAGTGCTCGGATTACAGGCGTGAGCCACCACACCTGGCCCCCTTTTTAATGTTTAAAAACTGCAGCTATTTCCTGGGTTTCACCAGTGTTCCAGGCTTGGATGCAGTTGTCTCCAGGGCATTAATCACACACTCAAACTTCCTTAGGGCAGTGAACTCCGAGTAGTAATAGGAGGCTGAATTTGCGTCTATTTAAGAGGAAACAGTGACATGGATTCTGCAGAATGGTCTCTTACCATCACGAATTACTTCTAATTAGCTGTAGCAGGTGGATTGGGGTCTACTCTGGGGTTCACATGTATTCTGTCTTCAGCTCCCAGTTATTTATTTTTTTGGAGACAGAGCCTCAAGCTGTCCCCCTGGGCAGAGTGCCGTGGCATCACAACTCATAGCCACCTCCAACTCCTGGGCTCAAGCGAGTCTCCTGCCTCCACCTCCCAAGTAGCTGGGACCACAGGTGTCCACCACAACACCTGGCTATTTTTTGGTTGCAGCCATTATTGTTGTTTGGCGAGCCCGGGCTGGATTCAAACCCATCACCTTCGGTGTATATGGCTGGGGCCTTAGCCACTTGAGCCACAGGCGCCGAGCCCAGCTCAGCTCCCAGTTCTGTCTGGTGTCTGTGAGGGAGAGAGGTGGGCTTGTTTGTTGACTTAACAGGAAGAGGTAAAAGGGAATGACTGAATTGTGTAAGTACTGTTTGTCTCCTTTTCATCTAAGAAAACCAAACTTTTTTCAAAGGGGACTTTTTATTTTTGATTCTCTCATTGACCTGAGAAAAGACAGCTGGTAAGTCTCTACAGTGTGTGCGGCACCACCATCATCTGTCTCTGTCAAGACAGTCCCTGTATTTACTTCTGTACCTTTGATGGGAATGTCCCAATTTTGGAGTAACCACTTTGAAATAGATTTGCTGTTGCATCTTTTTGATTGAGAGGGTCATTCCTTGTTATAATATTAAGCAAAGTATAAACACTTCGGTTTTTAGTTACTCATTGAATTGCAGGTTGTTCCATTGAGTTACTCTGTCTGGAGGTCGTTTTGACTGTTAATTCTTAGGTAGAGGATGTTAAGGTGCCAATTGAAATTCAAATGCATGATTTTCCAAGAACTTCATCTGTTTCCTAGATGGAGTGAAGTCACCAGGAAATTGGAATTCTGGGTTCAAATCTTGGAACAGAATGAGAATGGTGAATATTGCCCTGTGGAAGTGATCTCTGCAAGGGACGTCCCAACAGGAGGAATCTTCCAGCTCCGGCAGGTAACGTGATCCAATGTTCATATTAGATCCTTTGAAGCCAAAAGGCTTAATACTGGCTCCTTCTTAGTAGGAAAAAATGATTATGAAATCTGGACCCACCCTGTCTGTTTCTTACATTAAATTTTATATTTAATTGGCTCCTATTTCATGTGTATTTTTCTTTTGTTGTCACAAATAACGGCTGTGTACAGTAGTTTTTTTTTTTTTTTTTTTTTTTTT